TATTAAAAAAACTATGTCATCAGCTTTCAAATGTGATTTAACTACCCTTGGTGAATTCTGTATATAAAGGTACTCTGGACAACATACAAGAATGGGTTATTGAAAGTAATCCTTCATTGTCCCGGAAACTAAAAAAAAAATAAATAAATCTTTATATCTTTGGAGTGTTTAGTGACAAAAGGGATCTTCTCTGCCAGTAAAAGTGAAAAAGCTGCTAAACAATCTATGGCTTAAATGATGTCACAAGTCTACAGGTTGGAAAATATGCTGAGTCCTTTTCATGTATCTGTGATTTACAGCACTATCAAATTTTAAGAGTGTATAATGTTAGCATGTAATATTACCAGGCTGCCTGTTATTCCTCTCTGAGTTTTAACAAGTATTTTATCTCACAGTTTTCCTCTGTAGGAAGCAAGAGCCAAAATGACTGAAGGCACATCAGCAAGTTTTTTCTGAGATCATGGCAACAGAATATTATCAGAAAATCACAGGGTTTTGCTTGGAAAATAAATATCTGCATTTTCCTTGACATTTCATTTTCCTAAAAATACCTTTACTGATATGGAGCTGCAGGAAACCAGTATCCTCTGACAACACTTCATTACAGTGACATTATCTCTTAATTTCAGTAAGTTGTGGGGAAGAAAGGGGGTCTGTATCTGATGTAGGAGATACCCAGAGCTCCAGGCTAATATCTTACTGTAGACTTTCCACTTCTTGGAGCTTAAAGATACTGTGAAATATTTCTGAGAAATTATACTTATAAGTGATCAGATTCCAGACCTGGATTAATTTCCGGAAGGCAGGATATCAGTAAGCATGGAAACTGTGCCACATTTTGTATTATACCTTCCCATCCCTATTTCACATTTCAGGCATATTCAGCCTGGGGAAAAGCTAAAGCTAGAATCTTCTTAAGGGATAAATAGCAATCTTAAGTCATGGGTAAATATAAGAGCAGAAGTGTTGAGATGTAACAGTTCAGTCCATTTCCCTACTTCCTAATTGCTTCCTAATCCCTCGTTAGAACTCCCTGGTTCCTAATTAGGACATCCTAATCGGAATCCCACCATAGTCATGAGTGGTACTTTGAAAGCCCCAGGTTATGGAATAGCACCAACCTTTAGCTGAACACTTATTATGTGGGTTTGGATAACTATCCATGCCAATGAGTCTGGTGTCCCAACTGCCTTAAAGGTCACCTCATCTCATGGCAGACACCTAAGAGAGGGTATAGGAATTTCACTGTCAGGAATGTCTATTTCCCTTAACAGCCTGCAAGAACAACACGAAGTGCTCAGCCTGGCTGTGGATGCACAAAAGCCCGAGTCTAGATGGGATGCACCTTGCCCTCAGCATCTGCATCTAGAGTTCCTTTGGAGGAAATGGGTTGGTGCAGAGAGACCATGTTTCATTTTGAGGTGTGTTTACAGAAATCCTGCATGTTAAACAGAGGAGCTAATTACTCTGCACTGCTCATTCCTCAGGTGTCAGCTGGAGACCTGTGTTACATCATTCTTTTATTAATAAGGAAAAATACTTACATTGGCCAGAGGACAAAGGAGGGAGGCAAAAATGAGAAAAAAAAAAAAAAGCTACAGAAACAGTGACCTGTGAGGTCAGGATGAAAGAATTAGGTTTTTAAGACCTCTAGGAAAACAAAAGAGAAGATGGAGCAGGGTTATAATTGCAGCCTTTATACATTAGAAAGGATCTCTTGAGCAGGACAATGACCAATATGTTTTTGTGACCACAGTGGGCAGGACAGGATGTAATCTGTTTAATTTGCCATAGGGAAGATTTAGGTTGGATATGGGGAAAAATATTTTGTCTTTGAGAGCAATAAAATGTTGATATAGACTCCCTGGGAAGCCATGGAATTTCCTTGAGGAAGGACAAGTTAGACATCTGTCAGGAATGCTGTGAGCACACAAGCCCATCTGAAAGCAGAGGTGGATTGGTGTCTCCACTGGTGTTCCTCAAGTGGGGTTCACAACCCATATGAAGGATGTGAAAGGCCCAAAGGGAGTCTTATAAAGGGAGTGTTATAGAAAAAATAAAGATCTATGTTAATGGTAAGGGAAGGGTGATGCTTAAGGAAAAGGGGGCCTTATGTAGTTTAAAAAGGTATAAAATTGCGCAGCTCAAAGGATTTTCCTTTCTTAAATATGTGATCTTGAAATGCTACTCACAAATCCAGCCTTCGAGGGGTTATACAGAGACAGATCAGCCAAAAAACAGGTCTGACTTTCAAAAAGGTGGAGCAATAGCAGCCTACAGCATCTCTTTTTCCCTTCCAGCACTATGCTTCTATGATTTTTTGCAGTGTAGTTAATACAGAGGGATCCTAAGTAATTAAATCTTCTCTTGTGTCAGATTCTGAGCTTCCTCCCACAGACAAAGCTGGGTTTTGAGGTAAAACACACTGGAGAGGTTTTTAAGATAAAAAGGGGCAAAATTCAAGTACTTCTTCCTCCCTGATATGGAGTGTGGGCTGAGATTCTGTCTGAAGCTGAAGTACCAAGATAGGGGTCTAACAGTTGGAAACCCTGATTTTTCCAGTTCCTTTCTTCCACCAGATATGTTAAACTGCCACAGAGTACCAGGAAGTTTCTATTTACAATTTACTTTAGTAGTCAACTTACCTATAAAAGTCATGGACAGTGGTAAGGCAAGGAAAGCGAGGAGCCCAAATATAAAGCATGCTGTGAAGGAGAAAAAAAAGACAGTGTTATATGGGCTAGTTCAGGTTTAGAGGCCAGCATTTCCATCCAGTTCTTTACAGATGCCCTGTATCCACACAATTGTGTAGGAAGAAATGCAGTGCACTTGATGGAGTGGGAATATCCCCTGCGTGGTGCAGCATTTGCGCTGATGGGACCAGCACATTTTATCACTTCCAGGATGCAGTGAGAGACACAAACTGCTTTTGCAGCTACTACTTGCAGCTTGTCTTAATCCAAGGGCAAGGAGTCATCCACTGCTGCCTTGTCCTGCACCCTTTTCAGAGGCAGTGCCAGCCGACTGTGCAGTAACAAGTAATTTTGCATCAGCTAATCCATGGCAACTGATGAGCCATATCTGTTTGCTAAGGAAATAGCAGCTTTAAAGCCATTCCACTAAGTTTTCACTGATAGCTAAATAAACTGTCATTATCACAGATGTGGATAGTTTCTGGCTGGTCTAACTTCCTGACCCAGCTTAGCTCATGAGCACAAAGGCAGCAGCCCTATTGCAAGAAGTGGGATTTGTCACTGGGATAGATCAGCTTATGCTGTGTGGAAGGATGCTCTTAGGGGTGCACATCGACTCTCCCTGCAGGTGAGTGGACCTGGGGGGCTTACTTACCCCCTAGAGGTTGCTGGTGTATCTGAGCCCTGATGTTTCCCCCGCACAGCCAGGTGCTGCAGAGGATAAATGCTGACCTTCACAGTGGGTGAGGGACATGAGCATCTAGGACACCCCATCTCACAAGAGCTGTCACCTCTGTGCCTAATCATGAACACTTGGCAACATTAAAGTGAAACGCTGCCCTGCCAAATTAGAGTAAAATATAATGAGGACATTCTGTGGCAAGTGTCCCTTCGGAGCCCTTCCAGAAATTACTCAGGCTGCAAGCAGGTGCCTAAGGGTGCCACAATGCAGGTGGGCAGAGATTGAAGAGGGGATGAGAAGAGCATGGATAAGAAAAGGAGTAGGACATCTCCTTGGAGGCTTGCAAAAAAACCATTTTGGAGCAAGTATTTGGAGTTGGCTGGGGACCAACCCTTTCCCCAGGTAAACTGTGTCCTGCAGTTCCCCATGCCAGAGAGCTGCAACCTCTGCACAGTGTATGGTGTCCCCTGGCCATGCAGGAGCAGGGACACTGCCAGCACCCTGCAGACAGTGCCGCTCTGGAAAATTCTGCAGCACTGCCAAAATACCACCCTCAGGCTGCCTTAGAGAAAAAAGGGCAGCATCACTGCCTCTGTTTTACAGAAGGAGAAACAGAGAGGACATAGGAGCAGCATCAAAATTCAGAGCAGATCCACCAGGCTTTCTGAGTCACAGACACTTTTCATGGGAACACACCATCCCCCACACACTGCTCATGTTTTCTCCACAGAGAACCAGGATCTTACACTTAAGCTCTTGAGAGACATCTTTCTCAGAAGTAGCATGTTTGTTATCCCTATGAACTGGGAGAGACTGAGGGTATTTTGAGCTGAAGAAAGTACTTCTGTTCCTTTGTGCTACCCCTCCTCCTTTCCCTGTCGGCCAGTCTCCCCAGCCCCCGCCGCCCCCCCCCCCACCTCTCTCTCTCTCTCCCTCTCTCTCTCATTTTTGCTCAGACTCCTATCTCTTGAGTGCTGCATAATACGGAAAATTCTTCCTCTGCTTGAATAGTGTCCTACACTTGACTAATCTCTTTCAACCACTGACAGCCTCTTATTAGAACAACTCAGCCTAGAGCCTCCCTTTTCACCGCATGTCACATTTTGTGCTAGCTCCTCTTGCTGTTATCTAGACTATTCTTTCATATTAAGAAGCGATGTTATTGTAAATGAGTCGAGCTTCCAAAACCATTTGTGGGCAAACAGTGCCCACAGGCTGGGCAACTCATTTATCTGGTGCCCCAAGGGGTGCCGCTCAGGTCTGCAGGCACCGACTGCCTGGTTGTGGCCACATGTGCTGTCATTGCAGCGCAGCCCTCGCAGCGACATCACCCCTCTGCCAGTGGTTTCTTAGCTGCCCCCTGTCCCTGCCCGTGCTGCACGGGAGTGCTCGGGAGCCCGGGAGGAGAAGGAGGAGGCATCGTGTCATTTGTTAATTGTGCAGCGCCTATTCCGCCTGACCCCGGGGAGGGACGCTGCAGTAAACTCTGAAAAAAAGCTCAGGGGGCTCGTGTGCATGTGAGGCTGCACATCTGGCAGACAGGTGTCCGTGTTTGCTTGTGTCTGACATCTGCCCAACAGCCCGCTTTTGGAGGGGAGAAGTGGGAGGTAGAGACCACTCAGAGCTCAAGAGAAAAAGATAATGCTTCATTAATTCCGCTCCCAAAGCAGTCGCTGGGAATGTATTTACTCATTATCTTCCCATTCAGCTACAGCCTCTTAGGTCTCGAATTGGAGGGGCAGATGCATAATCTGGGAAGGCTTCCAGATCCATGTTCAACAAAGTGAGGCTCTTCAACAATTGCCTACACAACTGGCAAGGCTCTGCAGCCACTCTCAGTGTCGCTAGCAGCGCTAAAGACCGATTTTCCCTAAATGTGTGGAGGTTTCACAGATACGCTGCTCAGCTGGGACACACGCATTCTCTGCCTGGGTTTGTCTGGGCTGTGCTGCCCCGTTCTGGTCCGAAGACAAATTGCTTCAGAAAATGGTACTTGCCGCAGGGTAGCACGGCTCAGCAGAGAGGACGCTGCTGTGCAGGCAGGTCCACATGTGGGACTTGTGGGGTTTTTATGGCAGTGATATCGCCTCACAGGCTGCTCAGAGAAGCCCCTGGCCCCATTCCTGAATAAGCAGCAAAAAAGGGCTGGTAGTCTCTAAGAACACAAACACAACTAGGGAAGTGCTTCCAGGCATGCCTCAAAAGGGTATCTGTTCCATGAAGATGGTGCCTGGCATCAGGCAGGAGAACTCATTGCTCTGTACCAGCATGGCAGCACCTGCTGGGGCACTGGTGATGTCCTGCTGTGGGATCCTAGCATGCTGGAAAATTGATGGAGGGAAGAGCTCATGTCTGGGGTCACAAGAGAAGAAGAGAACAGGTGGCTGAGTATCTTGCACACACCTTGAAATCTGTGGTCACAAAAATTAGATCAGCAGGTGCAGCTTTTGGATCTCCTTCCCAGGAGTACATTCAGCTGATATAAATCTGCTGTTTGGCTGAATTCCTCTTGCCAGGATTTCCCCACAGAAGTAAGCACACTTGAGATCACTGTTGACATTTTGGCTGTATGTCATGGTCTCTCTCCTGTCTGATGCCCGAGCCTTTGCATCTTCCACAGCCATGCCCCTGCACTGCAGCTGTCCTCCCAGTCCTCTGCTACTCCCTTGTTGTGCCTGGCTTCAGGACACGCAGCCTGTTGCCCTCTGGCATTTGCTTGGGATCTGGAGCCAGTAGTGTAGGGGACACCAATTCACCCATGGGCTCCTCAGAATTTATTTTGCTGCCACAAGTTTTCCAAATTTCAGATCACCTCAGGCTGTCCCTATTTACTTTGAACAGAGAGAAAAGTTTCTTTTCAGATAAGAGTCTTTGCAGGATTTTCAGAAGTGATTTATGAATATCAATCTCAATCTACCTACTCTCCTCAGTAGTGTGCTAATACAGCTGTAGTGCAAGCTGCTCAGTAAAGTGGCAAGCTCTCTGATAATAAATACAGTAATAAATGAAGTGTTTGGTTTATTACCATCACTCTTAGGTGCTATTTGTTCTGTAGTCTGTCAGGTTCTGGATAAAAAATGATTTTTTTTTTTTTTTTTAACAAGATACTACCAGTTTCCAAACAGTCTAAAGTTACCCCAGGATTTATCTGCATGAGCAAGCTGAGGAGCAAAACTCTCTGTGAAAATTCACAGTATGCCCTTTGGACAATACCCTGTGGGAATGCTGCTCTGAAGGGGCCTGACTCTCAGCAGTCTGGGTGTTAGGAAATTTGGGTCAAATTCAGTTGGCAGGGCCCCATGCCTGCTGATGCCCTGAGGCAGATGCAGATGGTGATGCAGGAGCTTAGCAAGCAGTGTCACAGTGTGCTGCACTGCAGCATGGGTGGTGTAATAGGCTGGAGTGCAGATGGGGAGCAGGTATTTTCATCCATGGTATTTTCATCCATGTTTTATTCCTTCACGGCATCTGCAGGCATCCCCTGCAGTACTGATAGGCATTTGGAGCAAAGAGAGAATCCAGCCTGTGGAGGTGTTGTGGTGGCAGAGAAAGTCTCAATGGATCTTTCTGAGGAATCAGCCCCAGTAAGATCATACGTTTTACACACCAGGGATGAGTCTGCCCAGGATTTTGGTAGCTGTGATTTCTGACTTTTTGTGCTTTCAAGCCATAGGAAAATGTCACTATTTCAGATGGGATATGCAGAAAATACTTGAATGAACTGACATGAAGGAAAGGAATTAAATCTGTTCAGCTTGGCCGGCCACCACCAAATAAGAAAATAGCAGCAAGGCTTGAGCACTCAAAACCAGACCTGTGAGTGATACAAAGAGTAGAAACATGAGATATCCTTGAGCAAAACCAAAGACTGCTCTGTTCATGAGGCTAAATGCCATAGCAAGGATTCCATCAATTGCTGGAATAATCTCTGGGGATGAATGGCAGGAATCCCATCCCTGGCGTGATTTAATCTCTTGACCAAAGTGGGTACTCAGAAACTGGAAGATTCAGGGTAAGGAACAGCCATTCCCATGGGGGCCTCTAGTTCCAGTGCAAAGCCACCATTTGAGGCAGGGGAAATGTGAGGAAACAGACCAAATCCCAGTTCAGGGTCACCAGCTGTTTACTGTGTTCCATTACCCTTTGCTTCGTCAGGGTTGAATTACTGTGATGTAGAACTTTGGTACCCAGATATCAGCATAACATCACCTAAACTTTATGTCCTAGGTGTAGGTGCTTTGAGGGTTGAGCAATATTACAGAGTGTCTAGCCTGAATTTTATATTATGCCTCTGGATACTCAACTACAGTTACACCATTGTCTAAATTCTGGATTTGGCCCCTTGTGAATAATTTCCAGAAGTAATTTTATAACAATATTTAGGCATTACATATAGAGCCATTCAGTTTGCATTTGCAGTAGACCTAGGGGAGTGAATTAGGCTTTTTTATTTTGGTCAATAAATTGAAGACTAAATTTAAATTGCTACACCAAGAATGAAAAGATGCTCCACAGGTGGGTTGGGTCTTGAGAGTTATTTAAATACCAGGAGACCAAAGGTACAGCTGTGGATTTTGCTGAAAAGCTCTTTGAAAAATAAATACAAGATGATGAGGAAAAGTGAAATTAAGCATTACTGCATTTCATGAGGTCTTTCATTTTAATGAACATAAAATCAATTTTGGATGCATTAGCTGATCCATAACTAAAGCAGAGCTTATTTTGAACTTAAGCATGATAAGAACGTGAAGATACTTTCCTGGAATGGTATTTCTGAGTTCCTCACTCATGGGTAACTTTTCAGCTACCCAAGAGGGTGCTTCTGGTGTAGAAGAGCATAGGTGAGATCAGAACTAATCCAAATCTTTAAAAAAAAATTCTAAAGGATTAATTATTTACTCTCTCATCATTGAAGTTCCAGTGGTAATTTATAACAGGGAATTGTAACATTTTGCTTGTAGACACTAGGAACAAAAATCAGAGAAAACACTACTTTTGACCTTTTAAATTATGATATTCATCAATGAGTCCAGATCCTCCCTGCATGTATTTTCTGCAGGATGTGAGGGATCCCACAGGGACCAGCTGGGCCCCAATTCCACTCACAGGCACTTGTCAGGGTGTAATGAGGGTACATGCTCTGCACCCCTTGTTTTGCATCCCTCCCCAGCCCTCCTTTCCCCTGGGGAAGTGACGAGCATGAAGAAGTAAACCAGAAAATATCCTCTCCTTCCTTACCTGTGTCAGGTTTCTGCAGGGAGACCTGGATTGAGCTTTCTGTCCCTTTGGCCTGATTTTCTCTGCCAGGTTGTAAGACAGCAAGGAGTTGAGGGATTTAATAATTAATAAAAGTTCATTCTGAGTTTTGAGAGCTTTTCAGGCAAAGCAAAGATCAGGAATATAGAAGACTCCAAGGTAACACCCTAGACTGGCAAATGCAGCAATAGTGTGGGTGAAGTATCAGTTATGAGGAGTGGTCAAGGGGTTTGCTGCTTCTTGTATTTGAGTGGAATTAGAAATTGCTACTGCCAAGAAGTGAAAGCAAAATGTCACATTCGTGTTTGCAAGTTTCCATTGCAACTCAGAGAGAAAAGGCAATACAGTTAGCAGGAGTAAACTGCTTTAATACCCATGGATTTTAACCTCCTGCTGAGGACATTGCTTCCCTGATCTTACAACACCCCACCTCTGAAGTGTATTTCTCCTGTGCCTCTGTGCATCTTGCACAGCCTCAGCCCAGGTCAACTTTCTGCTGCATTGCTCCTCAGAGAGCAAGAACCAGCCTGTTCAACCAGCTGTCAGCTTGTTACAGCCCTCTGAGTCCTCCACCCTGGGTGGGGAGAACCAGTTGCTTTAAAACCTGAGCAAGCCCAGGCTGTCATGCAAAAGAACTCTGTCCAGACAACTGATGCTTCCAGCCCACAGCAATGGGCTGCTTATGGGGAATCCCCCCACCTGCAGTGGCCCTTGTGCCAGGGAGCAGGCAAGCAGAGGGAAGAATAACCTGTCCCAGATCTCACTAGGTGAAAGGGAGGATATTCCTGACCATATTCCATCCCCAGACTTGCATCCCTGTGCCATCACACAGGCTGGCAGAAGTTTTGCTTGGTGGGAATTGCTCCTAGGAGAATTTGTTCTCAGGCTGGCTGTGCTGCTCTTCACAAGGTGATTTTCCCTGTGGATGCTTCTGCATGCACTGCATGTGTAAGGCAACACTTCAGAGAGGAGGCAAACACATTATTTTGCTTAGACTGTCTGTTGCTGTCCATATTTAGGCACATGGTGGTGTTTGTTTGAAATTTTGTGCTGGTTGCTATACTTCAAATACTGCAACAGGCAGCTGCTGTTAGGGTAGAGTTACTATTGCCCACTCCATCAGTTCCCAAGGAAAGGAAAGGAAACTTCAATGGAAGATTCAGGTGGGACTTAGTACCATCGTGATTCCTTTATATACTTGCTTAGCAACAGGGCTGCTTAAATACATGGGGCAATGGCTACCAGAACTGCCTTACCATTGCTGGCAATTTTAGATATGCAGCGGTGGCAGGCTTTCTCCAGGCCAGCAGTCATCGTGGTGAGCCTTTTGGGGTGCCTGTGGAGACAGAGAAATCCATATGGCTATCAGAAGTGTCTTTACCTTACTAAGTAACTTGCCTCAGAGTACTCGCACATGCTGGCAGGCTTTCACTACCCGCAAAAACCCCAAGCATGCACAAACCCAGCCAGCAGCAGGGCACACCCAGAGGCAGGAATGCCTTCCAGCAGCTCCATGCTTGCCTGCTGGTGATGATGCTCGAGCCCTGGGGCATGGGGAGGCTGGGGGAGAAGTATTAATGTCATCTTCCTGAAAACTGTGAGAGGTTCTATTTTTACTTTGATTTGTTTTCAGGCAGAACAAAGAGTATTTAAATGTTAGGAGAAAACCCAGGGAAACAGGTGAGGTTTGCTACACAAACCTCAGCAAGAATTAAGTAGCAAGCAAAAACGAATTAAAGAAAAAAAGGTAGAGAGAAGATGAAAAGAGTTTTAAGGTCAAGGAGGATTCTGAAGAAGAATATGGAATAAAAACTGCAAACCACAGGGAGCCCAGAACAACATGCCTTTGACAGAAAGGTAGCTGTATTAGAAAGTAGCTCCTTGTAAAGAATTTTTACAAGGTGGGTTGAGGGATGAGCAAGCAGACAGGCATCCAAGGTCAGGCTTCAGACAGCACCAGACAGTTAAGTAGCATTCCACATCAGTGGGAGTGTGGAAAGCTCTCTCTCTCACACACACACACACACACACACACACACACACACACACACACACACACACACATACACTCACGCACTCACACACACACAGACACACACACACACAGACACACACACACACAGGCTCCAAGCCTCACCTTCTGGCCAGGGTCACCACAAGTCTGCAACCACCAGTAGCTCTATGGCAGAGGAAGGTGTGTGTGGAGGAGGCCAGGATAAGGGAAGCTGCATTCCTGAACCTACCTCCAAATAGCCTCTAGATTTTTTAGTGGTTAGAGAGCAGTATTTTAAGCTTAGCCTCACCGTGTTCTAAGTTGACATGAGATCCACCATAGGGTTTTCTTGTGCAATGCTGTGTCCAGCTTGGCCCAGAGCCTACTAGGGACCATGGGGTCCCAGGCACGTATTGAAGATAAAGACAGACTTATTCAACCACCTGATCTATGGCCATACCCCTCTCCAAAGTCTGTCCAAGCCCTACTAGTCGTGGCTGAGCAGAGGAGACTGTATCCAAGCCCAGACAGGACCCTCTGCTGCCATGGGGAAGGGGATGGGGTTTGCTCCTTGCACAATGGCATTGCAGATTCTGTTTCCTGACAGTTAATAGAGGCAGGTGTGGTTTTACCTGTGGGTGAATGACCGAGCAAGAGCCAGGGACTTTCAGAGGCAGAGGCTTTCACAGACATCCCACCAGATCAGTAATCCTTGCAGGCAGCAGCCAGCCACCTACATATACATCCAGGTTTCTTGTGTGCCTGATCTCAATAGATGTCTCAAGGAATTTAGCTCTCCTTTCCTAGCCCTAATCTTTATATCCCAGAGGATATCTCCATCAGTACTGAATGGAAATTATATATGAGTGCCTAACCTCTGGTGAGTGCATGTGTCTCATACCAGCCACCAAAACCTTCTTCATCAGAGCAAATACTGTTTCCTATGGGCTGCAACTATTGATGAACATTTCAAGGGAAAAAATAAGCACTGTTGCATGCTCAGGGAAAACAGAAAGGAAGAAGGGAAACTGGTACTTTTCCCAGCCAAATGATATATTAACTTTAAACCTTTCAGTGCAGGTTTCTTTCTAGAAGATGCACAAACAAGCATTCATTTTGCATCTGGCAATGGCTGCTGACAAAGGTGTTCTAAATCATGCATAGATTGGGAATATTAGTCTTTATGTAAATGTTTTGACTAAAATTACTTTTATAGAAGGAATTATATATTAATATGTGATTAATATAACATATGAATCCAATCAATCCGATGCCATATTAAAATCAGTAAAATATCCAGTTATCTTAAGCAGAATTTATTGCGGCTGGGAATGCTGTATTTCCATAAGCAGAGGGTAAAACGGACGTTTTGTCTTTATTTACTGCTCTTTTACACTAAAGGAAAACTGGAGGATCGGTATCTGGAAGCATGTCACCACCTAGTGACAGAGCCCAGAAGTGACCGTGATTCAGAGCTCTGCGTGTGCGGTTCTGACAGGTGAGATAGAGAAAGCAATTTCACGATGGCTGTGCACAAAGCGTGTTCACACAAGAACACAACACACAAAACTACCAGGTAGTGGTTTCAGTTCTTCCTCAGATGTTGGCGTGGACTTCTCCAGGACTGACAAATCCCTCAGAGAATTCATTCTATTTGCCAGATAAAGAGGTGTTGCCCCTTTCCCCCACACCTTTGATGATTCTGCAGAAGCTGCTGTGGGTGTTAAGGATTAATTATTTTCTTTTGTGCCAATGCGTGAGGGTGCTAAATGTGCAATTCAGCAGCCAGGCAGATGCAGAATGGTTTTGTTTCACAGCCGAAACAGGGAAATTTTCGCTGAAACTCACAAGAAACTGAAATTGGCACAGTACAAAGACTGGCGCCTTACAAGGGCAGGAAGGTATCCTGCCCCACTGTACCTGCTCCCAGTTTGATATTGAGTTGGAAAAGTCATATGAAAAACATAAAACTCAGCCAGGAAAAAAAAAAAAAAAAAAAGAGATAAAGACCAAAGGCAACTTCCGGACCTCCTCCCATCAGTCCTTCTCTGAGTTTGCTTCCCCAGTGGAAAGGGACCTGCCCTTGGGCCAGAAGGGCCAGCAAGCACCAGGAACAAATCTCTGAACTCCTTGCAGGAGGCTGGAGCCTCTCCATACAGCTGCTTTTTAGGGTGGCAGGTTGCAGCTGAGCCACACTAGAGTCACAGCACCCCTGTGCTCTTCCAGGCTGTCCCATACTCCTCACTGAGTGCCCTCAGTGCTGGTGGTCAGCAGCCAGGTTTGTCCCCCTGGAACACATGCTGTGTGTCACATTACTGCCTCCTGTTGTAACTCAGTTCCTTGCCCCTTACAAGCACAGTGATAAGTGTGTGTAGCACAGACCCTCCAGCCTGTTTCCTTTGTTATTTCAGCTAGTTTTAGCTTTAAACGATTTTTCTGGTCGTTATTCTCATCCTAAATGTTTAGGTAATAGGAGTCAACACTGACTGATAGCACTGACTGACTGACTGGTGTGTGCCTGACCTACAGGAAAGCCAAAAGACAACTTCAGGCTGGTCCCGCCGTGTGTCAGTCCAAACAAGAGCCATGTCCACTTTTGTACTATGGTGTTCAGACTTTTCAAATTGAGCTCTTCTCTCTCCCAGATGCAGGTGTCGCACTCTGCACTGGTGGACACAGCAGGCAGAATTGGTGGGGCTTCCTAAGATCCCAGTTCCCGCTTGATGGCTTCAGACTGCCAGGGATCCCTGCTGGGACACGGGAGGTGTACATGGGCCAGCAAACCCCTCCGGAGCAAGGGCTCTTGTCTAAGTACTGCTAGAGGGAACAATTTCTTTTTATTTTTCTGAAATATTCAGGGCAAAGTCCTCTTCCAAATCCGGTTTCCTAACAAACCACAAAGCCCCACGCTGGCTGTTATGCCAGCACGTTGTCCAGTTCCCAGCAAACCCCTCTTACCTGAGAGCGCTGTGAGTGCCAAATCCCTTCAGCTGCACGCGTGGGAGATGGGGCAGAGAACGGCAAAATCCAGCCCTGGGTGGATTCTCCAGCTGGGAGAGCTCTCTCTGGGACCCCGGAGCTCTGCTCGGCTCCCTGCGGCTCTGCCCGTGGGCGCTGAGGCACGGAGCGGGGGCTCGCTGCCTTTTGTTCCTCCGGGCTCTCACCGTGGGAGCTGTGGGATGCGGGAGCGCTTGCCGGCGGAGCCCATCCTCATCAGTTTCCCCACTCCCACGGCTGGCTGGAGCCACAGCCCACCCTGTGCCGTTTCAGGGTGACAGCAGGGGGAAGCAAAGGACCCCACACAACGGTGACTGTACAGGAGGTGGGGGGAAAAAAAATAAACCAAAAAAAAACCACCAATGAATTTCTTTTGCTAAGTCTTTTATTTTAGAGGGAAAAAAATATTTATTCAGAAATCAGTAGAGAGTGTTAAGTACTTGGTTCA